AAGAGAATGTGAACAACTACAACTGAAGAAAATTTTAGAAGATCTGAGAATGAAGTGAGATGCCTCCATGCGCTTATACTGTGACAATAATTGACCATAAACATCATTCATAAATCAGCATAACACGGTATGGCCAAACATATGGAGGTTGATAGACACTTTATCAAAGAAAAGTTAGAAAATGGTTTACTATGTACTCCATACATGCCTATTAGCTCAGAGTTTGCAGACGTGTTGATTAAAGACTTGAGTAATCCAACATTTCGGATTATTATTGGCAAGTTGAAGATGGACAATCTCTATTTCCCAACTTAAAAGGGAGTGTTGAAGAATATATCATATGTAATTAAGAGGGAATTATGTTAAAGAGCATTAGGGTAAAATACATCTTATATAATTAATTGTTTGTTTTTTCTATTTTAGAAAACCTGTATATGTAGGACATTGATATTCAATAAAATACACACTCAATTCTCAACATGAATCCAAAGTTACAAAATTTTAACTTTTAAGTAGTAATAATTGAGTATTAGGGCAATAAGGGAACAATTACAAATAAGATAATAATAGAAAGTGGTTAGAACCCGTTAGTGTTGGGAAGAGGCATAACTACCTTCTTTCTCTTGAAGCTGAAGCTTCTTTCTCTTGAAGCATATTTTAAGTTACAGAATTATAGATGAATGAAAGCCGAAGCTTCTTTCTCTTGAAGTCTCTCTCTCTCTCCGTGCCTGTCATGCTTCTGTTGTGTGTGTCTCTCTCTGTGTAATTTCTTGTCATAAATCTTAGTGGTAATCTATCGCCTGTAACTTAAAATATGCTGATAACCTCCTGTTCTAATATATGAGCTTTGAATTTACAAATTACCTTTCAGTTAAAAGATATTCTTGCAGTGGGAGCAAACTATCAGTCTCGCTTTGTGGCTAGACAGTTTGGGATGGAAACTGTAAAGTTCAGCTTATCTTGGCCGAAGTTCTCTTTTTTCTTTTTTTGTATGATGCAAGTTAGTTTATGTGTAATTCTGATTTGTGCTTGTGGGCACTTTAGGTTGATTTGAATGATGTCAGTGACATTGACATTGCCTTTGATGTGGTTGATGAAGTGGACTTCAGTAGAAATCTATTAAAGGTTGAAACTCTATTTGTCTCCTATCATGGTTCACATCTTAATATTTTTGTTTTTCCCATTTTCTATTATTTGTGCATTTATTAATATTCTTTTCTTGCCAGTGCAGAGGAGGCACGCATACTATCCAGAAGGTGATTCAAGATTCAGAAAAACTCTATATGTTTCTATATGAAATTCAAAAATTAACAGACGTATAGGGTGATTTATGTTTTGGAAACAAGGTTACTGCTGTATGGTTTCCATGAATGTTCTAAGGGTTGTGAGTTGTATCCGAAGCTTTATGGGTTTTTCAGGTTACACTACTAACTTTTAAATATCAAGTTTTCAACACGATCACGTTTTCCCCCCTACTTAATTGTGTATCCAAATTCATTGGAAATTTTTGGTAAATTATGCGAAAATATCATGTACTTTTACTGGGGTCATAAACTGAAACATATTTCTAAGTATCTTGTTAGGACCTATATCTTTTAAGTTATCTCAAAACTCAAAAGCTATTTTTTTGTTAAAATACACTGGATATTGAATGTCAGATTAGTTAGCTAGTAGTGAAATTTACACAGATGTATGTGGTTTACAAAAATCAAAATTTAGATCAAAATATTGAATGTCAGATTTAGTTAGCTAGTAGTAAAATTTACACACACGTATGTGGTTTGCAAAAATCAATTTTTTCAAATAAACAAAAGTCAAAATCTAGGCATGACCTTAATTTGAGACATCTGAAACTTCCAATGAAGGCTGGCTCCTTTAGGGTTATATCTTATTTCAGTAATGAAGGTCGATTAGGATTTGTGAAATAGGCTTAAGTTTTTTTTTTAATTTTTTTTATAATTCTGAAATCATGTGGAGAATGAGAATATGTATTTTATTGAATATGAGAATCTTATATATACAGATTTATGTGAATAATAAAAGAAAATATACTTAATTACAAACGAGAGGGCTATATTACTAATATGCCCTTTACCCTACTTAATATACACTTTATACTTCTCAACTATACATATATATATACATATGTATATATTTGTTTTTATTGCTAGATAGTTCTATTTTTTTTAAACTTGTGAAGTGAAAATAAGAACTTTATACAAAAACGTAAAATACATATTATGTTGAGAGTTTTAGACACGATTGACATGTAACTAGTTTGTATTTGGATGGTACTCTCTTGGTACCTTATGCATAATAATACTTTTTTTTTATTTCAAATAAAAAAAGTTGAGAATTTTAGACACAGTCCAAAAGCTAATTCGAGCAATGGATACCTCTCTTTCTCTCTGGCATACAGTTGAAATGATTGATATGGCCATGCTTCTTTCTTTTTGTGTAAGCTATTTAGTCGACTTGTTCTTCCCTTGAACCAGGTGGTTGATTCCATGGCAAAGGTGTGTGTGATATTGACCGATTATACCAAGGTTGTTCATCGGCTTGGTAGCAATATCCCAGTTGCGGTTAGTTTCTATCATTAACTCTTTAATTACTTCTTTGTTTTATAAAAAAAGAAATAGTTTTACAGTGAAGAAAGAAATGCAATGAAAGGCAGGATAAGCCATCATCTTACCACTAGAGACAATGACAAAGATAAACAACAGAAGCAAGGAGAAAAATCAAAACAAAATAGAATCACAATCACTTTGCTTCATTGGTAAAGGAAACTCCCTGAAGGACCTGTAGCCTAAAGAGAACTGTGAAACACCACCCTATCCCAAAAGAAAAATATTAGAATTATTTGAAAATGCTCACATCTGACTCCAACCGAAGGACATGTAACTATGTGAAGGTAACCCCTTTCAACAATATCTTATGCTCCTTATTCTGTCCAAGATCACATGAGCTGGAGATAAAAGTCTCCCAGTCAAGAAGACAAGCCTGTGAAACTCTAGTGAGGAGAATAATCTAGTTAAACCCTCCAAGCCACCTCACGAAGCAGAAACAAATGATTAGTCTCTATCATTAATGGTTCTATGTCTCTTTTCCTTGAAGAATGAGATGTGAGTTCTTCATTATTGCTGTTTCATTGATGCCACTATTTGGACATTTATATATTTCGGAATCACACTCACCTCTACTTGCTAATGATTTTAAGTACACAAGAATGTACGAAGAAATATGTTATAGTCAAACAACGAAATCCGACCTAATAAAATCAAAACTATAATATTATGAACATTGGGGTCCTAAAAACAAAAAACAGACCTTGGAACAGGTAAGTATAATCCACAATTTCTTTAATGTAAATAAATTAGAATACATGGAAGTTTGACCATCAAATTCTTACCACAAGCAAATCAGGAATGACAAATGGTCCTCCACGTGCTAGATTTCTGTCAAGCCCAAAGAATAATTCCATCTTGAAAGATAATGTCTTTGTAAAATCTGTGACATCTGAAAGCTTGGAAACAAAGATTGAAAGCTAAGCAATGTAACAGAGGGGGTGATCGGTAGATTGCCTATCCAATCTAGAATATTGATGCAGATGTTCATAACGAAAACTTGATCTTAAGTCATCTAATTTCATGCTGTCCATAATGGAATTTCTGTGCATTTGGATGTCCTTTATGTTCTGCCACTAACATAGGATGCTTCCAGAAATGAAGATGTTTTAGTCTGTGTATGTGGATTGGTAATTGTTATTATAAAGGTTTAACAGGAATTAGGATGACATAAAAATCAAGATGAGATCACTAGAATTTCATAAACTCAATGACTGATTCTGTCCTTCACTTGTGTCCCCTTTCCTGCATTTATTTTAAGGAAATATGTAAATCCTTTTATTTTACAATGCTTATGTTGATAATCTTCTTTATAGGTTGAGGTTCTCCCTATAGCGGTATCACCCGTTTTAAGGCGCCTTGTTGCTCTTGGGGGAGGTTAGTGTTGACAGTGGTTTAGCAAGTTATTTTTATTGTGAGCAGCTATAACTGTATTTCTTGTTAATATTTCAGTTCCTGAAATTCGATCAGCTTTGAGAAAGGATGGTCCAGTGGTTACAGATCTGGGAAATGTGGTTGTTGATGTTGGGTAATTTTCAGCTACTTTACTGGCCTTTCATTCTCTGTGAACGTGTGTGCTGTGTTTAACAACTTTAGCTGGTTTTGATTTGAACATTTAAGTCTTGATTTTTATTAGTTTGGTTCTTATGTTGATGTCTTCTCTTCCAATTTTAAGAAGTCGGTTTTTTAATAGAAACTTCTTTTAAGCTTGAAATCGTTGCAGGTTCTACTATGGAAGTAAGAAAAAATTTGAATATAATATGTCTAAGAATAAAATTGTCGGCAAACAAATGTAGCCTTTAAAGAGCACTAAATTATGTATCGAGCATGAAGATAAACTTTTTTGATGCAGAACTCAAGATCAACCAATGTAATCAATAACTCACACAATTTCATTAAAGCACCAAAAGAATTTGATTTTATGAAAACTCTCCCTACTTAATCTTTTACAGATGATAGGAAATAAAATCACTGAAAAACCGAGAATTAAAAAAAGAATGGAAAAAC